GGTTGAATCGGGTGTGGTGATTCTGTTTCTGCATAGATGCAGTGGTTTAGTCCCTAAGCAGATTCTTCAGCTGCAGCCAATGTCACCAATAACTGTGGGTGCCTCAGTTCCCTAGGCTGTAATAGTTTGTGGCAGCAGTGGCATCGGTTGTTAATGTCTTCAGTGGGAAGGGCTTTGGGATCCTCTGATTGTCATTTTCCCCACAGTGGAGCATCTTTGCCAAGGGGATTCCTGTTGGTGTCACATCTGACCTAACCTACAAGCAGCTACAGTAGTGTGGGGTTCCACGTGCAGGTGCTCAGAGCAGCTGTGGAGCCAGGATCCTGGGCTCAGTGTCTTATGAACCTATTGTGGCACCTAGGTCTTTGGGTGCAGGTTCACTCTCTGAGGTGCAGTCAGATGTTGATTTCCTATAGCACCAGGACCTGTGGCTGTGATGTCCCCCTGGCAGCTCAGGCTCTGTGGGCCAGGTTGTAATTGTGACTCTGAGACCCTGGAGGGCTGAGTGCAGCACTGGACCAACTCTGGGAGAGAAGGGTTGCTCTAGAAATTTGGGTCCAGGGAGTAGAATACAGCTTCAAGTCAAGAATCAGAGCAAAGGGAGCTCAGTTGTCACTTGGTTCCCAGGGGGTGAGGCAACTTTTAGTAGTGCCTTTAGCCCCTGGAGCAGTGCAACTTGGCAATATCTCAGTCTTTGTGAGGCCAGTTGCAGCAAGGACTCAAAATGGTGGGGTGCAGCTGTCATTTGGGCCATGGGGGACATGAAGCAGCATAGCACTTAAACCACTCCCCACAGAAAGGGATATCTCAGCAGTTCAGTCTCTAGGGGGATAGTCCAGTTCCAGGAAAGCAAGGCACTAGAGTTGTTTGGCCCCTAGGGCAGGGTGTCTCAGTTGTGCCACTGCTCTGTTTCCTTGGGACATGAGGTACTATGTCAGCTTAGCCCTGGAATGCACAGTTGCTCCCAATTTCTTAGCCAAGCAGTTTCTCAGCTAAGACAGCATTTCCCCAGAGGGTGATATACAATTTCTGCTCAGTCCTGGGTTGTGGAGCACAGCCATGTCTGGGAAGGGTAGTTAAAAATTCCCCCAAGGGAATATGCAGCTTTGCAGCTTCAGTTTTGGCCTGAGGGAGAGGGGAACAGGGATGCAATTGGCAGGGATGGTGTAGTGGCTTCACCACTGTAATTGGCTGGGATGGTGTAGTGGCTCCACCACTGTTTAGTCCCTTGGGGTAGGGAGTAACACCTGCTCTCAGCTAGGGATGGGGAAATCAGTTCAATGGTGGCTTAGTCTCTGGAATGAAAGGGTGTCACTCACCCTGGGGTACGACACACTTTAGCAGCAGTTCCAGTTTCAAGATAGTAGTGCAGTAGTTGCATGGGCCACAGCAGGCAGGGCACAGTGTCAGTTGCTCTTGTTATAGAGGCCACTCAGCTCCTGGCTTGGCTCGCCAAAATAGTTACAAAAGTCACAGGTACAGCTGCCTGCCCCCAGATAAAAAATAAACAACCCAAAAGTCAAATGTTGGTGAAAATGGAAGTCACCTTTTATTCAGGAACATCTCTCCGATAAACCTGAAGGAGAATGGCCAGACTACAGCCATCTCAAAGAATCAGGTTTACCAAGGGCTTCTTAGAGGGGATTGAAGGAATGGAATCTTTTATTCAGGAACATCTCTCCGATAAACCTGAAGGAGAATGGCCAGACTACAGCCATCTCGAAGAATCAGCTTTACCAAGGGCTTCTTAGAGGGGATTGAAGGAATGGAACGTGGGAAAATGAAAAGCAGGAGAGAGGGGTATGTGAGCAGCAAGGGCTTCATGCAAAAGTCTCAGGTGAAAGGTGTCACCAAGACTCCATCTGGTTTCTGCTCCTGTACTCATCTCAGGGTCTGGGTAGTATGTGCAAGTCTGCAGCTTCAGGCTGGCTGTAAAACAACTTTACACTCATGTAAATAAGGTCATCTTGCCCCATAACCAAGGTCCAAAATATCAAATAACCATGGGGAAAGAGAGAGAGCTCAGAGAAATGCATGGCAAGAAAAAAACTGTCTTTTAAAAATCTTTTAGAGCCCATGTGGTTTTAGGTCCCAATGTGGCTTCACTCCTGCCTACTCCAACACTTGACAAAGCACCACTGTGTGGACCCCAGGCAGCAAACTCAGCTGGGCTTATTGCCTGCGAGGACTGCTGGGATCCCCAGTAGTGAGGATGGAAGTTGCCCAAGGTGTGGATGAAGGCTGCTGGGGTCCTCTCACCTACCTTTTCACCACAGGGAGAAGTTCCTCCTGCTTCTCTACTGTTTCTGGCTGAGGGATGGGGTGGTGGAGTTGATGTGTTCTCTCTGTGGCTATGTTGGGTTTCTGTGCTCATTGGTGTTTCTGTTACTTCTTTGATGTGCTCCAGTGCTCCCCTTTAGTTATTTTCATCCAAGTGTAGCTGTTTATTCATAGTTTTGTCCGTCTTTGTGGGAGATATGAGCGGTAGGGTCTTCTGGTTGGCAGTCTTGCTCCACCCTCCTAAACAATGCTTAATCTTGATTATCTATCCATCACTTTATTTCTAAATTTTCTCTGTCCCTTTACTTTCTCCCTTATTCAGTCCTATAATCCATTGTCCTTTTTACTTTTCCATCCATCAGATCCCTCCCACCCTCACTCTGTGTCCTATCCAGTTCAGAACGCACAGTCCAGATTTCAATGCCTTCCGTGCTACTATCCAACCCTTGCCCCGTTGCCCTTTTAATCAGGGGGTGGGGGACGATGGGTTTTTTAAAATTGTGTAATAATTCAAAATTTCAAAAATATAAAGAGAATAAAATAACAAAAATTCATGTCCCACCCACCTCTGAGATTTAACAGGCTTGTCATTAATGCCATATTTGGTACAGATTTTTTTTTAACTTACAGTGTTACATATACAGTTAAAGCCTTCTTCTTAATTCTCCAATCTCATTCCTTTCCATCTCTATCGGTAACTTATGTTAGAAAACCAGGGTACATCTTTATTCACTGTGTTGTTATCCTTTTACTATGCACATATATTCATAGACAATATTTATTATAATTTTATCTTTAATTTTTATCTAAATGCTGTTATATTGTATATCACCTTCGGCATACTTGCTTTTTTTTAACTTATCAACATGATTTATAAATTTACTTATGTTGATACATGAAGGTTTATTCATTTTATCTGCTATATTAATCTTTCATTGTATGTATGTCCTTTGTTTCCCATATCAAACGCCTATCTTGTTCTTTACAATGTCTGTTTCAAACTTTCTCCACACTATTAAATTGTTTTTGTCCTGCCTTTACACCAATTGCCTCTGTCTCAGGGGGTGACTTTCTTTCCTACTTCAAAAGGAAAAGAGAAAGCATCAGAGGACCCTCTCTCAAATTCCTCCCACCAAAGTTATAAACCTACCTTCTCCCATGCCAATTATTTCCTTTTCCCTTCCTCCTGACCTTTCCATGTTCTGAATCACATTCCTTCTCAATCTCTCTTTTCAGGGTCTTCACTATGTCAATCATCCCACCCTCCTCCTACATCTTTAAATTTTCACTTGCCTACTGGCTCCTTCTCATCTTAAATATTTTCATGCGTTTCTCATCTTAAAAAAAATTCAATTTCTCTTCCTCTATTTACATTTCTTTGTACCTCTCCCCTTTCATAGCTTGATATAGTGAACAGGTTGTCTATATTTGATAATCCTGACATCCTATTCCTTCCTTAACTCATTGCAAAATGATGACAATTAATATAGGTTTATTTACCTAACACTTGTGAGCCAAAACATAGTGTTAAATGCTTGGTGTGAATTAGTTCAGTTAATCCTTGTAACAGTCATATTAAGGTTGATGCACCATGTTTTATAGATAATCAAACAGGGTTAGAAAGATTACATATCTACGCTAAGATAATATTATTAAATGACAGAACTGGAATTCAAACTATGTTCATTGATTCTTGTCTCTAAGACCTTAGCCACTGGTATATTGCCTTCTGATGCCCCCTTTCCAGTTGTGTGAATGACATTTTTCAAAGTCACAAATTTCCTCAACTTTACTAAATCTAAGAACAGTTTTCAGCAATCACCTAGCTATACCTGTCAGCAGTATTAGACACCTTAGAACCTCAGCAGATGACCTTGTTCTGTGCTCCCTTAATATTATATCCCCTGAGATTTTTTTTTACCTCTTTGACTTTTCCTACTTAGTCCTCTTTGCAGTCTCATTTTCATTTTTACTGTTTTCTTCTCTACACATCCTCTAAAGATAGTATTCATTGGGAATCTGTTCTAAACTGAGATGTTCTCATGCCATAGTATACATCCCCTTGGGTAATCCCACCTGCTCCCATGTTTCAGTGCTGATGACTTCACCAGGTCAATCCCAGTGCATCCTTTAGTTCTTAGCTTAAGTATCAACTCCTCTTACTAAACTATCCTCCTCTTACTGAAGTCTTACTGAACTATCGTCTCCAGATTAGTTCAGATACCTCTTTAATGTGTTCCCACTCTTATAGCCCATATCACACATGATGGTAAGTGCTAATTTCATTAGCTCCTTTTTCTGCCAGACAGTCAGCTCCTAAAGATAAGGGACTATTCCTATCTTGCTTGCTAGTCTATTACCTTCTTCCAGCATGGATTAAATATTTTCTTTTTTTGTTTGTTTTCCTTTTTGTCTTTTTTCGTGTCCAGCAATGGATCGCAACCCTCAGTGTCGCGCCCGTACCGGACCGGGACCGGCAACGGGATCACAACCCTCGGTGCTGCACCCGCACCTCGCTCAGCCAGTGAGCGGGAACCGGTCTGTATGTGGGATCTGAACCCTCGGCAGGAGTGCTGCTGCGCTCCCAAGCGGCGCACTGTAGCAGTGCGCCACTGGGCCGGCCCTAAATATTTTCTAATAAATAAATTGTGTGCATGGAGCAATTAATTCCTTAATCAAAATGAAACAAATATTCCTGTCATTTCAGCTGTAGGATCAACATGCAGAAAAATCACTGCTCCCTGGCGGTGGAACCATCTTACCCAGACTTGGTCATCAATATAGGAAAAGTGACTCTTGGAGAAGAAAACAGAAAAAAGTTGCAGAAAATTCAGAGAGACCAAGAGAAGGCAAGACTTACACAGGCTGCATGTGCTTTATTAAACTCTGGAGGAGGAGTGATTCAGATGGAAATGGCAAACAAGGATGAGCATCCCGTGGAGATGGGACTTGATTTAGAACAGTCTTTAAGAGAGCTTATTCAGTCTTCAGATTTGCAGGCTTTCTTTGAAAGCAACCAACAAGGAAGGAATTTTTACATTTTTGTTAAGTCTTGGAGCTGTGACCTTTCCCCTGAACTCAACTCTGTCAAGCCCCGCATTTGCAGCCTGAGTTCTTCACTTTACCGTAGATCTGGAACCTCTGTGTTTCCCATGAGTTCAAGAGAGGCATTTGACTTCCTGAAGACCAAGCCAATGAACGCAAAATATAGTCTGATTAATGAAGGATCTCCACCTACTAAAATTCCCAAAGTTATAAATCAGAACGTCTTCTCTCAATCAAATCCTGCTGACCAAGTTTTCCAAATCAACAGGATTGAATATGGTGAAATCCTGCCTTTTCCTGAGTCTCAGTCCATAGAGTTTAAACAGTTCTCTACAAAACACATCCAAGAGTATGTAAAAAACACAATTCCAGACTACATCTCTGCATTTGCAAACACTGGAGGAGGCTATCTTTTTATTGGAGTGGATGATAAGAGTAAGAAAGTCCTGGGATGTGCAAAAGAAAATATTGGCCAGGCCTCTCTGGAAAGTGTAGTAGCAGGAGCAATTTCCAAGTTGCCCATTGTCCACTTATGCTCTTCAAAATCACAAGTGGGCTACAAGACCAAAATCATAGATGTGTTTCACATGGAAAAGTTGTATGGTTATCTCTGTGTGATTAAGTGGAGCCATTCTGCTGTGCAGTGTTCTCAAAAGACCCTAGTTCTTGGATAGTGAAGGGCAAGCACGTCTGCAGCCTGACACCTAAGGAATGGGTAGGCATGATGACAGACACAGATCCAGGTAAGAAGGATGAAGCTCCTTCCTTCCTGTCCTTTCTACGTCTTTAGCACCTCCATGTCCTTCTTCATTCTCTGTAACTTTGAGCTCTTCATACCCACTGAAATTTGCTTTCTCTAAATCTCTGAGCTTTTCATACATGGGAAGGTTTTATTGGGTGAGGGAAAGCCAAAATTATGTATTTTGTGAATGGTGATTAACCACAAAAGAGGCAATAAAGGAAAAATTTGGGAAATGGATTCCTTTTTAAACTATATGTTATTTAAAATCCTCTAACTAGAATTTGCTGGAGCCTCATAATAACAATTACCTTGTACTTCAGTTTAGCATGAGATCAACTGTGGGAGACAAGAGCCAGAGGTGGGTGAGATTTGTTTTGGCTGGGGCTAGTGTGGAGGTGTGTGTGCAGGGATATAAAACACATGATGATTAGAATTTTAAAAAAGAGTGCTTTGAATAACACTACAATTTATGCAAAGAGCTATCCAAACATAGAAGAGGGAGCATTGTATTGAATGGGGAAACACCACTCAAGATTCAAAGGAAGAGCGCTTTAATGGTGGGCCGTTGGGAACCTTGACATAGAGTCAGGAAAGGGTGAAGTGTCTGCCTTTGTGGCTTGAATTGTACCATGTTAAATGAAATTTAGACAGCATCTTGTACAGCCTATTCCAGTGGTGATGGATGAAATCATATAGGATAAGATGTTCTTTCCTTTCAGAGATTCTTTCAGAGTTGACCGAGGCTTTTGAATCTCAGCTAAGTCTATCCTGTAGCCCTCCGCTTTGCAAACCAGTGTATTCTAAGAAAGGTCTGGAACATAAAGCAGATCTTCAACAACATCTATTTCCAGGTACCAACTGCCAGTTTATTGGGAGAAAGGGAGATAATTTAATACATGTGGTTAAAAACAAATCCATGAAAGATTGTGCCCTACTTGCACATCCAGGTGTATAAAGTGACAATGCCACAAGTCTCTTGGGGATGAGTCTCAGGAGCTCTTAGAAATCATCTAGCTTAGAGGTTGCCAAAAATGGCTGATTACCAGAAATACCATAGGAGATAGTTAAACATGCAGATGTCCAGGCCCCCACCAAGAACTTTTAAATATGTCATTTCCAGGGATGAGGCCTGGGCATGTGCATTTGAGCAAGCTTCCCAAATTATTCTGATGTTCTGCTGCATTTGGAAACCACTGATCTATAACAACTGTAGGCAAAGCATTAGATCAAGAGGTGCAAAAGAATAGTTGACTGTTTCTGGTTGGTTTTTCGGGGATGGAGGAATTATATTTGTAAAAAGAATTACAATATTCACCTGGTAGAATATAAAAACACAGGGAAACCATGAGTAATTTCTCTTGGAAAAGGCTAAAGGGGATGAGTCAGCAGTGTCCCAGGGGTAACAAAATAATAACTGAAGGCCATAGACAACATTAGGTAACCCCTCTCCCCCCGACCAGACATTTTTTAGCTAGGTTTTGTCTAAGAGTTCCTACTTAGAAAAGGGATCTACATTTCTAGAGAAGGTAAGTGGTTGTTTAACCTTACACATTGAACATATTAAATGTGAGCTCTGACAGTAGAATACGATATACAAATGTTCTATGTGTGTCTAAACATTCATCAAGGGCCAGGTGGTAATTAATATATTTGGCCTGCCTTAGGTCTGTTTTTGATCAAATTATTTCTTTACTTACCCAAAATCTTTGTAGTTTTTAGCTTATCTTTTAAATCCACGATCAGAATCTGAGATCTAAGAGTAATTGAATACACGATTTTCACCTTTTCAGGCTCAGTAAGTTCCATTTTAGCTGAGACACTCTGTTGTCCATGAGTTACACAGAAGGGAAACATTATTCAATTAACCAGATTTGTAGGATATGGGTTAAAGAGAGGTACAACAAAAGGAATTTTTGTTAAATTGTATAATTATTTGGGGGGCTTTACTCTCCTTTTTAAATGTGATGTGGGATTCATACAAAATAATACAAACATATTAAAATATTTTTTTCTATTTTTTTTCCCACATCTAGTGCAGCCAGGACATTTGCAATATACTCCCGAATCCCTCTGGACAGAGCTGTCCTCACAGCATGAAGGACTGAAGGAGTTAATAAATAAACAAATGCGTCCTTTCTCCCAGGGAATTCTGATTCTGTCTAGAAGCTGGGCTGTGGACCTGAACTTGCAAGAGAAGCAGGGAGTCATCTGTGATGCTCTACTGATAGCACAGAACAGCACCCCCCTTCTCTACACCATTCTCAGGAAGCAGGATGCAGCGGGGCAGGACTACTGCACCCACACTGCCTTCACTTTGAAGCAGAAGCTGGTGAATACAGGGGGCTACACTGGAGTCATCTGTGATGCTCTACTGATAGCACAGAACAGCACCCCCCTTCTCTACACCATTCTTAGGAAGCAGGATGCAGCGGGGCAGGACTACTGCACCCACACTGCCTTCACTTTGAAGCAGAAGCTGGTGAATACAGGGGGCTACACTGGGAAAGTGTGTGTTAGGACGAAGGTCCTCTGTCTGAGTCCTGAGAGCAATGCAGAGTCCTTGGAGGGTTCAGGTTCTATGATAGGTTACCCAGGGTCCTATAGCCTTGCAGACACCCAGCAAATGGAAGCCTTGCTGCAGTCCCTTGTAATTGTCTTGCTTGGCTTCAGATCTTTCTTGAGTGACCAGCTCGGCTGTGAGGTTTTAAATCTGCTCACAGCCCAACAGTATAAGATATTCTCAACAAACCTCCAGAAGAGCAAAGAATTGTTTGTCCATGGCTTACCTGGTTCAGGGAAGACGATCATGGCTGTGAAGATCATAGAGAAGATCAGTAATAAGTGTCACTGTGATGCAAGTAAAATTCTCTACATTTGTGAAAATAAGCCTCTAAGGAACTTTATTAGGTAAGCAGTTGGATCTTATGTATGTAAGTGTAATTTAATCTGGGTTTAAGTTTCTCTGCTACGTCTCCTCATTCCTTGAGGATTAGGTGGTAAAGATGATCTTTACAACAGTACAGTGTTCAAGGGAGCATGATAGAATAATTTCTTCCTTTTATTTAGTTACAGAAACCTGACCGTGTCATTTTTATTTTTACAGAAGTAGAAAGATCTGCCAAGCAGTGACCCGGAAAACTTTCATGAATAGGAAAAATGACTTTGAAAATATTCAACATATTGTCATTGATGAAGCTCAGAATTTCCGCACTGAAGATGGGAACTGGTATGCACAAGCAAAAAACATCACTCAGAGAGAAAAGGATCGGCCAGGAATTCTCTGGATCTTTCTGGACTACTTTCAGACCACTCACTTGAGTCGCAGTGGCCTGCCCCCCCTCTCAGCTCAGTATCCAAGAGAAAAGCTCACCAGAGTGGTCCGCAATGCTTATCCAATAGCTAAGTACCTGAACAAGGTAATGACGGAGATCAGAGAAAACCCTCCACCTAACATCCCCCTTGAGTTCCTGGAGATGTTCCACGAGCCTAAATGGGTTCAGGATGTTCCAGGCAACTTAGAGATTATTGAAGACTTGGACCTGGAGGGGGTGGTGAGCTATGTAGCAGAGGAGTGCCAGTTTTTCATGAGAAATGGTTATTCTCCCAAGGATATTGCTGTGCTTTTCAGCAAACAACCTGAAGTAGAAAAATATAAAGATAAGTTTCTGACGGCGATGAGGAAGAGAAAAATGTCTCAGCTCAATGAGGAATCTGATCTGTTAGTACAGATTGAGGATGCATCAGATATTCTGGCCAATAAAATTGTGTTGGACAGCGTCCGTCGATTCTCAGGCCTGGAAAGAAACATCGTGTTTGGGATCAACCTAAGGGCAGCTGAGCCAGCCATTTCCAACAATCTCATGCTCTGTCTGGCTTCCAGGGCGAAGAAACACCTGTATATTCTGACAGTGTCTATCTGACAGGAAGATCCCAGTCTAAGAAGAAGTGATAAAATATTGCCTCTGTCCCTGCATTTTCAGAAAGGAAATGAGTATTCTGCATCAAAAAAGTATTAATTTTGACAATAGAGCTTATTAAGAGAACTGGCTTCAAAGTTGTTGCTATATTCTGTAAAAGGAACTTCTAAAAAGTCTAATTCTAATTGGTTATATTAATTAGTACCTTTTGCCTTGCTATTCATGTTTATATTGAAAGTCTGTTTTTATAAACTTAAAATTAAGTCTTCTTTGCTGAGACAAGAGGATTGTTGATACATCCTTTGTCCACACTTGGAAAGGCAATAAAACACGACTGTACACCTTTATTTGTAAAGAGTTCAGGAATCTTTGGCTCTTTAAATTTAACAGAATAGCTTCTGGTCAACATGGCAGAATAGACAGTCACCAGCCTCACTCTCTCCCACAAATCAACTAATTTACAACTATTAAAAAGCAATGACAGCCAAGCTGGGGCTGCTAGAGATCAGGGGAATAAGAGGAGAGACCTATGGAGTGCATGAGGGTGAGAGAAGCCATGATGAGAGAAAGAAAGAACCACTCAGACCGTTTTGAGCCCCACCTGCTTCAAGACTGGAGCTGCTGAGTGCACGGAGCAGGAGCTGGCAAAAACCACAGCTGTGCCCTTTGGATGAAGTTGTTTGGAGGCGGTAAGGGAGAAGAGGGCCTTGGTGACCCACAGGCCAGCAAGACCACTAACAGGGTTCCTGTGGACCCACAAAGCAGCAAAGAGCCACAACAACTGAAAAAAAGGAGCCACTCAGAGGCCAGTGAGTCATCGCAAGGGACTGGCGCTCAGCCTGCCCCATGGGAAGTGTTTGGAGTGCCGGCAGTGAGGAAGATGGGCCCACTGGGGGAACACTGGGGCACAGCAAGGACAGCTGATCTGTCCCAGAATAATCAGCACAGGACCACTCAGTGGAGACTGGTCAGGAATACAGAACTGCAGGGGGTGCAGTTTGCTGAAAAGACTCAGGCCCAGACCAGAGTTCCTACACAACCCAGGTGTACTGGATCGCATGGGAGCCAGAAGTACCCATAAAGTCAACCATTAAAACCTGAGCTGCACAAAAAGCCTTCCCCAGGGAATCAGCAGCAAAGCAACAATTTAGCTCAACCACAGAGCTCAAGTGCTGGTCCCCACAGGAAGTTTCCCCATTTTAGAAGTAAGCAAAGGACAACAAATTAGTTCCAGTGCAGAGTTTAAGTGGTGGCAACAGCAAATAATCCAACACAGAACTGGAAGGAAAAACAAAATACCCACAGACCAGAGACAGTTTGATATTAACTAGTAAAGGTCTCACATCACCAAAGAACACCTATAAAACCTAGAAGGACCTAAATTCCCCTGGGCTACCAAGCCAGGGAGGAAGGAGCGCTGAGGGCCTCAGCCATGCCCCCTGACACCTGCAACCAGCCCAGTGATGACCACTGAGCCACCACAGGTAGTGCCCTGGGCTCTCCCAAGCCGGGGAGGTGGGGGGCCAAGGGCCTCAGCCACGCCCTCCTGATATCTACAACCAGCCCAGCAACGACCACCAGGCTGCCACAGGAAGAGACCCAGGCTTTCCTGAGCCAGGGCAGTGGGGGTCCTCAGGCCTCAGCCATGACCCCCTGACACCCACAACCAGCCCTGTGATGACCACTGAGTTGACGCAGGAAGTGCCTGGACTCCCTCGAGCCAGGGCGGTGGGGGGCCAAAGGGTTCAGCCACACCCCCCTGACATCTGCACCAAGCCCAGCAATTACCAACACCCCTGGAAGACCCTGGTCTCCCCTACAGGAATGAGGGGGATGCCACAGGCCTCAATCCCACCCCTCCTTCTTCCTCGTTTGCCTACCCTATTTCCTTCCCCCTTCCCTTTTCCCCCTCCCCCCAAATTCCCCACATCATAGAATGTAAATAATATTAATGAATAAATTAAACAAAATAAATTTAACAGAATAATATGAAGTGGACCATTAATATGAGTGCTGATTTCATGGTGAATATTCCCACGTGGTCAATTTCAAGCTAACCACGTGGCATCAAATGGCTCAGAACATCCCTGAAAAATTAACAGTTGGCTCTTGGGAACTGGGTGTGAGGCAGCTCCAGCACATCACTACAGCTGAAGCCATCCCAGTAAAATCTGGTGTGCCTTTTTCTCAGACACAATATTTTTAGAAAGAGAAAACATTTATATTAGAGTACTGTAATCCTTTATTTTAATTACTTAGTTGTTTTTACATGATATTTATACATAATGTGTTCTTGTCAAAAAGTAATATTTACCTCTTTACTGAACAATACATAACTCAGTTGAGTTATCTTGAAAGGCAACTTTTCCAAGTAGAAAACCATTATGATAGTCATTCCTCTGAAGACTAATTTCTACCATTGATTTAATATATTGTGCAATATATTAGCAAGAAGAATAAAGCTCACCAAAAAATATGGACATGAAGCAGAGGAATGTTGCCACACAACGTTTCAACATGAAATTTTAAATTTATTATGAAGCGATTACAACTACACAAGGATATCACAAATCAGAAATAAAAGAACCTAGATAAGACATTGCCCAACAAAAAGAGATGTAAATGTGAACTAACCCAATCAAGAGTGGAAGAAGGGCCGGCC